TATAGTAATTTATATATAGAACCGCGTCACGTTTCACTATGATCATTCTTCAGTTGACTGGAGAATCATCAATTAAATTATTATTAAGTTATTTTTGTTTAAAGATTTAAAAAAATTTACTTAGAAAAAATTTAGTATGTTTCTACTGACTTACTCTCATATTCTTCTTAAAATATACTATATTTGAAGCTCCTGAAATCATCAGAAATCTCTTATATACTTAATAAAACTAATAAGCTAAAGAAGCTAGTATTAATGTTAAAAAAAAATCAAATATATATTAGATTATAGAAATAACTATTTTTTTATATACTATATACTGTATAGACTATACTATATACTACTTAAAAGATATTAAATATTAATAAAGATTTAAAACAAAAGCTTTATTCTAATATTAAAAAAATTATTAAATATATAAAGACCATGTTATTTATCATCTGATTTTTTTTATTAGAAGCTTACCCTCCTTCTCCTTCTTAATATAAATTTTAAACAGGTCTTTATATATAATTTTAAATTTTTTACTCCCCTTCCTTCTAAAAAATCATCTGATTTTTGTTACCTCCCTAATATAAAAATAGTATATAACTCACTTTGAAGATTATATAAGTTTATATATACAGTATAATATGCTGTACACTGTATATATACTATATATATCCTGTATATAAACTGCTAATAATATCGGTTATCGTTATCGTTATATTAGTTTTTAGATGGCCCAGATAATCTGCAAAGTGACCCAGACGGGTGGCTTTTTAAACAGACCTGTTTTCACCCAGTTTAAACAGGTTGAAATTTATCTAAAATTATTAATTAATGCATGCAAGAAGATCAAATTCCAGGGGCTTAATTTTAGCCAGGTGCATATCTATTGCTATGTTTATTGTTACTGGATGAAAGTAACGAAGAACATACATGCGATTGACTATCATTAGCAGTTGACTTGTATTATAAACTTTTAACAAATAGACCTTGATGTAATTTTAAATACTGTAGAGCATTGCATCAGCAGTACCCGGGGTATAAATCAAAAACACCCCAATTAACTTGATTTGTATCCGGAGGGCACTGAGTGAAGAGGAGGGTACAATTCAAGAAGGGTATTTGAATTGATTTAAGGCAGAGGTTCATTTTTATTGGACGTTACTAGTTTTGCAAGCTTAATTTATAACCGGGTATAAGTCAAAATTTTTGCATGATCGTATTGAAATATATCCGTGTCTAAATCCTAGGGGGTAATATTCTGGAGGGTATTGAATGCAGCGCTCTACAGTAATTGTCAGCAGTGATGTAAGTTGGATCCGCGCATATATCAGCGCTCTCCGTATATATAAAGCGCATTTTTTTTGTGTTTACGCCAATAAAAATTTTTTGAATTTATAACACTGATTGTCAGTAATAATTCGCTAAATCAGATACATTAGCTTATTTTACATAAATAAAATAGATATTGGACATTTATTAGTCTTGTAACTTCCGAATAAAAAAAAAAAAAAGACATCAAAATATCGAAATTAATAAATAATCGTTGAAATATGTAAATTATTAGAACATGATTTCATTATTCTATTAAATTGCTATAAAATTAAAAACCAATTCATGGGTTCGTAGAATTTTTTATTCCGATGAAATAGATATATTATTAATAAATTCTTTTTGCAATTATATAAATCTTCAATTTCGAATTTTGATTTTGAAGATTATGAGGTTGTTCTAATAGTGGCTAACTATAAAATAAATCAGATCTAATTTTTAAACTACTATTACGTACGTAACTGATTTGGACGGCGATGCTAGCTGGGTTGGTCGCAACCCTAGATGCAGCCCAATCTCCCACAACCCCGCTAGCCCAATCAATACTCCTACTCAGTCTTTTAAGTCATTTGAGCATTTCAAATCTTGAATTTGCCTAAGTAAAAATGCCTTCTCATCATTAAATTGTTCATCATCTATAATAAGAGGACATATGACACATTAACAAAGAATAATGTAAAGATGCACGTACAATCATCATATAACAAACAAACAAACAAACCATGACGTTCGTTATGGAAATTTCCCAAGAATTGGATTAGTCTCTCTTTGTTTTTCCATAAAATGTCGGAAATTGATTTGTTCTTGTTTGGATTGGCTACAAATATCTAGAATTGAGATATTTACGTTATTGATAATGACCCATCGGTTACCTGGTGGTTTATATAAGAATTTATACACACCTTAAACACATGAAAAGCTTCAAATTGAATATTACGACTTTTATCTTTCAATAAATTCATCATTAATTTCAAATTTTCTGCGTTCGCGATATATCGAGTCATCACATTGAAATTGCAACGATCCAATAAAATCTCGCCGAGTAGCTAAATAAAACCCGAATTAACCGACAATCAAATAAATCGATAATTATCTATAAACATACCTTCAAAGACTGTCGCTTAGTTACATAATTATTCGAATTCAATAATTTGGTGTATGATTCGAAAAACTAATTGATAAATAGTTAATACATAGGAATCAATATAACAAATGCATGTACATAAAGCAAAAAAAAAAACTTAATACCCTATCGTAATTTGTATCCAAAAACTCAGCTACTAACGTTTTATGACGTGTTAATATTTCCTATTTGAAACGAAAAATATTAAGCATAACTTAATTTTATAAAATATGTAATGATTAAAATATCTAACCTTGAATGTGGCAAATGCATCACTAGCAATATCAAAAGTACTCAACTCCACGTATTCAAAGAAATTATAAAATTGAGGAGAATACAAAATAATTTTAGTCAACGATTCGTGTCGGAGGCATTCTCTAAGAATCAATCCACAATTGAGCGCTATTTCGGAATTTTCATATCTGAATTGCGAAAATATAAAATATTAAAAATGATCATTTAAATATCACGTCATAGAATTAATAAAACTCCTAACCCCTTGAGTAAAGTAAATAAGATATCTTCTTTATTTTTTAAATAGTCGACGGTAGGTGTCAATGAACCAATTTGCCTTCTTAAAAGGTTGTTAAATATTTGTGAAACATCTTTCTTCGCCTAATCATTATTTAATTGCCAATAAATAAGAAAGATTTCCAAATTAAAATAAAGGTACATAAACCAAGTATTACCTCGAATTCAAATCGCCAGATATTAAGCACAAGTAATTGCAAAATATCGTTGTTGTATACTTCTTGCGCTAATTGCGCGACAGTTTCTTGAACTGGCTCGCTGTCTAGAATATGTAGTAGAAATGAGATCAATTTTTAGTATATTCCCGACAATGCAAGGACACTTTCGAATATATTCTCACCTCCTTCGCCATAAAGAATATTTTTCATTCCTATTAAATTTTTCGATATGTCTTCGCTTGCCTACGAAATGACATTTGGTGAGGACCATTCTTCTTATCTTTTCTTATCTTTATCACTATGCAGGTTGTTGAGAGGTCAGGAACCACTCTTCTTATACGTGAAAAAAACATAAATGAAGTCTTCAAACGAAATAAGGAAGTACTTCTAAAAAATGGCCTGAGCTCCTTACAACAGTATCGTCCCCCAATACATAAAAGAAGCCTAAAAACAATGCTAGCTCGTCGTTTTAACGAACCTTCTTTTTATCCACGCCGTCTAACTTATTAATGGCATCCTTTACAGCTTTCACCAATTCATGTGGGGTCTTTGACTTCGACTTGAAAATCATAAAATTCATATTTTTAGTGCCTAAAATATTTGGTGCCTTTGAGACTGGATTTTACAAGAATTGTGGGAAAGAGGGTCGTCGTTCTCAAATTTTAGTTGGAAGAAGGGGTACTTATAGCTTCGACCTCCGTATTTCTTTTAATGCGTAGCTTATTTTCATGTATTTATAAATATAATGTAATAGATTTGAGAGAAAGTTATACCCTTGACGACGTGTCCGAGTGGTTAAGGAGTGTGACTAGAAATCACATGGGCTCTGCCCGCACAGGTTCAAGTCCTGTCGTCGTCGCAATAACTTTTTTTTTTTAATTTTTGTTACGCCTTAAATGATACAAAGAAATCTTCACATGATAAACCAATTTTTCCTTATGAGAGCAAATGCATAACGTGAGAACCACGCTTTTTTCGTACTTTAAGTCACATGTCCTCGGACGACTGTGATGAATAGTATCACACAGTTTCGGCAATCATAATATACTAATCATCACATTGGGCATCCCAAATAATTTGGTTCATCTCTGACAGAAATCTTATCATTTGGCGTTCAAAATATTGATATTTATTTAAATATATTGCACGTTTACGTCAATTTACATTAAATTGAGGTGGGATAACCTTCAATGGATCAAAATCACACTTTCTTAACCATAAACGTCTAGCTTAACCGATGATTGACTAGGTATGTAGATCATGATTTTTTGTGATAATAACTAATCCTTTTAACCAGAAGTCCAAATACCCAAATTTAACAAATAAAAAATTTTCTAAAAAAGTCTGATATATTACAACAATTCATACAATTACCACCATTGTTCAAAATATTAAAATACTACAGATTCACGCCTAGCAAGAACAGGCAATACATGAATTCTAGGTACGTACATTATCGTAAACTAACTATTAAAATGTTGATCTATAATAAGTAATTAGAACTGATATAGATTCGGTGAGTATACAATGTTTTTTTTCTTTTTTTACTTCGGGAACATTATGTAACGACGTTTTTTATTTATCTAAAAAAAAAAAAATAAACAATATAAAATACGAGCATGGGGGTGTTTCCGGATTATAGTTTATCATTGGCAGATTAAATGTTTGAGATAATTAACCGACTAAGCCAACTTAGCCGTATCAAATTATCGACTCGGCTAAGCTTATAAGTTTTTAATCGACTACAGTCACTAACCTTGAGCATAACTACGAGTCCATTCTCGAGCTGTTTCAATTTAATTAAATTAATTTTGGATCAAACGCAACTAAACCTAAGTCTAATTTAATGAAGAAAAATGTCACCTGTAGCAATGGCGGCTTTTTCATTTTCTTTCCAGTGTTGTGCAACATCATTTGCTAATGGATCATCTGGATTGGGAGCCGACAAAAGAGCCTGTATTGAGAGAAGTACTGTACGAATTTGAAGAGCCGGCGACCACTTGTCTAAAATAAACGGTCAGGGTATTAATGAATCATAAATGAACTAACCTTCGTAAAAATATTTTTACTAACCTTTCAAAATGTCCAAACAAATTCTGCCAAGTTTATCAATGTTCGGGTGGTATATTTTAGTAATGAAACGAACCTTGGGTGGTGCCATTGGATACTCTTCGGGTAAAAATAACTCAAGTTGGAAAACACCACCTAGAAATAGAACAATGATCAGGAAAAGAATATTTCTAAAGCTTTTTTGAAAGAGGAAAGCTCGTACCTTCAAAAGGAGACTGGCTCGGTCCGGCAATGATGACATCAAAATAACGGAGATTTTCTTCGTGAGGTTTAGCACTTATGCCAGGTGCAGGCTCTTGTATCAAACGTTCAGTTTCCTATTGTCAAAGAATGAAATTTTATTACAAAATTTTCCTCTTAAAACATCGTATTACAAATATTACAAATACATTATTTTATAAACAAGTAAACTTTCATACTTTAACGATTCTCTTGGGTAGCGACATTTTGTTTAGAAGATTACGTTTGAAACGGGCTTTTTCGGATATAAATATTCTTTATGTTCACGTGATCCACTTAATTTAGTTATCGTTATGTGAAATACGTATATATTTACAGGTTATATAAGCGAAATAAAAACAAAAAAAAAAAAACCGTTTTCGAAGAACTGTTCGCATTTAAAATACAATATTTTAATTAATAATGTATATTTGATAAATTTTTTATTTATTTTTTTTATTTTTTTTTAGTTTGTTTATATATACAGTAGGGTTAAAGATAGTCTAGCTTGTTTTGAAAAAAAATGTTTTTTATTATTAAATTATTTAGTAAAAAATTTATTGCAATATATTGCATACCCTTTTGTTAATTAACAATTTTGCTTATAAAACTATTAAGTTCTAACAAAAAATTTTTTTAAAAATTTTAATATAAATTATAGTATACTATAGTATATTTTTGTTTTATTTTAAATTTAACTCTAATACAATATTTATTGTGGCGGCTAAAGCTACAATTGGCTAAAACTAAAGTTTTAAAATATTTTAATATTAAATTTTAAAAATTTTTGGGGTTTTTTTTGTTAGTTTTTTTTTTAGAGTTATATTAGAGTTTAGAAGTACAGTAGTTTTATTAATAAAAAGTACAAGTAAATTTTAGTATATAATATTTAAATAAAACTTTCAATTTTAGTTTTAGCTATTGTATTTATTTTTTTGTTTTGATAAAAATTTTTTGATTATTTATTGTGGCAGATCATAATGAAATTTAACTTATTTTATATACGATTTTTAAAAATTTTTGGAACCTTTTTAGTTAGGTTTTTTTTTATAGT